GGCCTGGGCTCGGGCGCAGGATCTTGCAGGATGTTGCAGCATCTCAGAGCCCCGAAGCATCAGGGGTAACTCGGGTCAGGGATAACTGGGGTTCGTTTTTCGGGAATCCAAACCCGAGTTACCCCGGACCCGAGTTACCCGGATAACTCGGGCGTCCAGAGCCCCGAATCATCATGGGTAACTCGGGCGCCCAAGCATCGTGTAAGGCCTGACTGACCCGGGTCTGGATTGACCCAGGTCAGAAGATGCCCGAACGTTTAAGGCGGGCATGTCCCTCTAAAGGAGGGATAATCCCGACAGTCCAAACATAGTCTGGGGACGGTGTTTTCCCCAATCGGTGCTCGCGCTGAAGGGGTCCTACCGGGAATTGAAGGATTTGGCGAAAGGGTCCCGCCGATTCTGGTGGCCGGCTGGGTTCCCGGTTCCCGGGTTCCTGGTCATTGGTTCCAGGCCGATTTCGGTGGGTCCCGGGTTCCCTGGTTTTCGGTCGATCTCCTTATCGATCTCTTTATTGATCCCATGTCAAACCATCCATTGATCGGGTTTTTCCTTTGTTGTAATATATGGTATTTGACTTTCTGTATTATTTAACTATGTTTCACTGCTCTTCCCCAAAACCCGCCTGTAGGAGGACGTGCCCGTCCTGAGAGCCGCCCCGAACGTCCTCCCTCTCACACCCCCCTCGGCCTTGGGACCGTGAAGTCGGCCCAGCAGCTCGGGATCAAACGCTGCTCTTTGTCCTTCCTCTCCTCTAGGCCTTCCAGATGAGTTCTGAGTAGGTGGGGTCGGAGGATCGCGCCGCATCGCCGATGCATCGCCGATGCGGCTCGATGAGGAGCCCGATTTTCTCGACGCCGACGGCGCCGATGCATCGCCGACGTCGCCGATGCGTCGCCGACGTCGCCGAGGCGGGGAGGGGGAAACCCCCCCGACCCCCCCCTCCCCAAAGCCAATTGTTTGTCCGACCTCCCCCCGAACCCTCCGCCCCCGCGGCGGCGCCGGCGCTGGCGGCGGCCGGCGGCCGGCAGCGCCGACAGCGGGGACGCAGCGAGGATTACCACCACCACCACCACCACCACCACCACCACCACCACCACTTCCACCACCACCACCACAAACACCCACCACCACTACCACCTCAACCCACCACCACCACAAACCACCACACCACCAGCACCACCACGACCTCCACAACCACCACCACTACCAGCAGCACAACCCACCACCACCACAAACCACCACACCACCACCGCCACCACCACAACCACCACCACCTCCACAAACCACCGCACCACACTACAAACCACCCACCACCACCACAACCCACCACACACCACCACAAAACCACACCACAACACCACCACGAAACCACACCACAAATCATCACCACACCACCACCAAACCCCCGCCGCCGCAGCCGCCGCCGACGCAGCGTGGCTCCAAGAAGAGGGAGAGAGGAACAGGAGGGAGGGGGGGGGTCTCGAACCCCCCCCCCTCCGTCACGGGAGGGGGGGGGGGGCGGGGGGGTCCGGACGCCCCCCTTCCATCCTGGGGTGGGGGGGGGCGGTCCGGTTCCAACCCCCCCCCCCCAAGCGAGCACAGAGCGCGCTCTTTCTTATTTGGGGTTCTGTAGGTCAACGCCTCGATTGCACCGAGCAGTTCGATAGTTCGGCTCGGTTTATGTCGGGCCTGTCCCCCTCCAGGGGGATTTTCGACGACAAATAAAGCAATATCCCAAAAATAATTTTAAACATGCTCCCAGAGTAGTGTGTTTTTTTTTTTTAGTATGTTTTGTCTTTGTGGAATATGTTGGAATATTTTTTGGGGCCTTTTTGGAATATTCTGGGTGTATTTTTTCCCTCGTCGAAAATCCTCCTGTAGGGGGACACGCCCGACTTAGGGCTCGGTCCTGGCCTTCGCCTGCAGGACCGAGGGTCGAAGGCGGCAGGAGCGAGGCGGGGACGGAGGCCAGCCAGCAGCCCCCCGTCCACCTCTGTGGGCAGGACTTGGGGAGGCCCGACGGCGGGTGCCGCCGACCCCGATCGAAGGGGCTACAGGAGGGGGAGGAGGAAGCGAAGGAGGGGGAGGAGGCGAGGAGGGGGAAGCGAAGGAGGAGGAGGAGGAGGAGGAGGGGAGGGGAGAGGAGGAAGGAGGAGTAGGAGGAGGAGGAGGAGGAATAGGGGAAGAGGAGGAGAGAAGGAGGAGGAGGGGTGAGAGGAGATGAGGAGGAGGATGAGGGAGCGAGGAGGAGGAGGAGGAGAGGAGGAGGAGGAGGACGAGGAGGACAGGGACGAGCACGAGGACGAGGAGGAGGAGGAGGAGGAGGAGGAGGAGGAAGAGGAGGAGGACGAGGAGGAGGAGGACAGGGACGAGCACGAGGAGGAGGAGGAGAGGGGGAGGCGAAGGCCAACAGCAGGCCCCCGTCCACTCTGGGAGGGGTATGCTGTCGGCCTCCCCGCGGGCGCTGGGCGCTGCCGTGCGGGGCCAGCGCCGGCCGCCCAGCAGCGGGCGGTTGGCCCTGGCCACCTCGGCCTCGCAGATTCAGGAGGGA